TAGGATTTAGTTATGAGGGTTTAGGGAGGTTTAGGGGTCAAAACATTTTTTAGTGTTTAGAATTTTAAGATATAGGGTTTAAAAATCTATAATTAGTGGAATTTTTGCAAATGAAAATCTCTAAGTGGTATTTTTACAAATGTACATATAAAAATGGCATTTTTGCAATTTTTTCTTAATAATATCTTTAACAAAATTAGGTCTTATGATATTCTTCAAATAAAACGTTACCACATTTACCAAAAAAATTCAAAGGTAAAATAACCCAATTTTAGAACCATCCAATGATCTTTGCAACTATAATTTTTTTTTCATTTTGGGATAAACTATTGCAATCAAAGGATCGAATCGATTAAGCATTTCACCTAACTAATTTTTAAGACCTCGATTTGCTTGTATGAAGATTATATGTTTGAAGGCATCAAAGCACTATGCTAAACCAATTAATTTTTTCCAAATATATGCTCATATTTTACTTTAGAACAAAAATTAAGAAAATGGTTATAAGATGTACCAGCACACTTATCTCACTTTTCACATACAGTTACGTTGTGATTTGATTTTTCTTCAACTCCTTCGGTTTTAATGCATGACTAGTATTAATGCCCGTGCAAATTGGCACGGCATAGTATAAAATTAGTTTAAATTTACATTTTTCATTTTGTTTGAAAACAATCAAATCTTTCAAACGAAACATGGTTAATCGAAATATCAAAGATTATATTACTAACCTAATATGAATAAAAATTGAATTAGTAGCTACGGTGCTTTCCGATGTTACTTTATCTTCACCATTGTTCTTTATTACTTGTTGTTTCATCGAATTCATTTTCCGTCTTTTTTTCTTTCAAATTTCTTCCAAGCGATCTCCATGCTGTGGAAAAAAATTTGATCTAGAAACCATGAATGTTGATTAAAATTTATCAGTAAGAAGGTTATATAGATGATGTAGACTTGTGTATATACATAACATGAACGTAAATCTTTTTTTTACAACCAGAAAAGTAAATTTATTAATTAAAATATGTTTTAAAAAAAGAATCAAGAGATGTTGCTTACTTCGTGTAATCATCTTCTTCTTTAATCCACCAATATCGCAAGAGATCAAACTGACTATACGAACAAAACTGCTAGGACTCACATTTTGGTTTCAGCACTATGATACAACAACTCGACGTCGTCTTCCTGTGCAATTTTCTTGAAAGTCAAACCACCTCCCTCTTTTATCTCTTCTATTTTACTCTATTTTGTAGCCATTAAATCACAAAATCACTCTGTACAGTTTATTTTTTTGCTATTAAATTAATCCAAAAGAAGCGTAGTGTTTTCATACAAAAAGAAATGGGATAATTGTCAAATATAGAAATGGAAAACACATTTCCAAAAATACCATTATTTCAAAAGCCATTCCAAATATACCACAAGACAAAAAACCCTAATATCCTTTGGCACATGCTATACATTTTGGTCCACAAGATTTTGTCTTTGTCCACCACCGTCATGTCTACCGTCGTCTTTGATCACTATCGTCGTCCACCGTCTCCATCAATGATCACCGTCGTCATCTTGTCCACCGCCGTTCTCATTTGTCCACCAGCCACCGCTCTATCAGCGTCTTCGTCGTCGCCTTGTCCACCACCATCACATTTCGTCTTGTCCACCGTCGTCCTCATCTCCGTCTATCGCCTGCCGTCTCCGTCGCCATCTTATCCACCACCATCTCCGCCGCCATCTTGTCCATCACCGACGCATTTCCCGTCTTGTCTACCGCCGTCTCATCTCCGTTTCGTCCACCACTGTCACCTTCTTCTTCTTTATCTTTGTCACCATTATTAATATATAGAGAGAGAGGGGATGAATCTGTGTGTGAGAAGAGAGAGAAAGGTGAATCTCTGTGT